AAAACAATTAAAGATGTAAAATTTTGTGCTATAATCAATACATTTTTTTTAGGTCACCTGAGTCACTCAGGTGACCTATTGCTATCCGTTTTTGTCCGTCGGCGTGCGTCGTGCGACGTGCGTCGTGCGATGTGCGTTAACATTTGAACATTTTTAGCTTCTTCTCTGAAACCACTCAACCAATTTCAACTAAATTTGGCATATAGCATCTATGGGTGAAGGGGAACAAAAATTGTGAATTTCATGGTCCCTGCCCCCCTGGGGCCTGAGGGTGGGGCTAAAGCCATCAAAATTAATGCAATCTTTAAAAATCTTCTTCTTTACTCCTGGACATCAAGCAGTCAAACTGTTGGCACCATTGTAATAAGCATTGAGTCCTCTACCAAAATTGTGAAATTCATGGCCCCAGGGGCAGGGGTTCTGGTGCTAGGGCGGGGCTATATAGATCATATAGTGAAAGTGCATTATTTCTTTGAAAATCTTCTTCTCTGCTCCTGGGTATCAAATAAACTAACTAAGTATATAGTTATGATGAGTAAGAGTGCCTCTGCCAAAATTGTGAAATTCATGGCCCCAGGGTCAGGGGTTCTGGTGTTAGGGTGGGGCTCTATTGATTATATACTATTAGTGAAAATGCATTAATTCATTGAAAATCTTCTTCTCTGCTCCTGGGTATTAAATAAACTAACTAATTAAGTACATAGTTAGGATGAGCAAGAGTGCCTCTTCCAAAATTGTGAATTTCATGGCCCCTGGTTCAGGGGTTCTGGTGTTAGGGCGGGACTCTATTGATTATATAGTGAAAATGCATTAATTCTTTGAAAATCTTCTTCTCTGCTCCTGGGTATTAAATTCAGTAACTAAGTACATAGTTATGATGAGCAAGAGTGCCTCTTTCAAAATTGTGAAATTCATGGCCCCAGGTTCAGGGGTTCTGGTGTTAGGGTGGGGCTCTATTGATTATATAGTGAAAATGCATTAATTCTTTGAAAATCTTCTTCTCTACTCCTGGGTATTATTGAAACACATTAAATACATAGTTATGATAATCAAGGATGCCTCTTTCAAAATTGTGAAATTCGTGGCCCCTGGATCAGGGGTTCTGGTGTTAGGGCGGGGCTCTATTGATTATAAAGTGAAAATGTTTTAATTCTTTAAAAATCTTTTTCTCTGCACCTGGGTATTATTTAAACAAACTAAGTACATTGTTATGATAAGCAAGGATGCCTCTTCCAAAATTGTGAAATTCATGGCCCCCGGGACAGGAGTTCTGGTGCTAGGGCGGGGCTATATAGACATATAGTGAAGGTGAATTATTTCTCTGAAAATCTTCCTCTCTGCCCCTGGGTTTAAACATACTAATTTAAAAGTACATTGTTATGATGCGCAAGAATGCCTCTTCCAAAATTGTGAATTTTATGACCCCAGGTTTAAGGATTCTGGTGGGGGGGGGGGGGGGACTTTTATTGATTATAAAGTGAAAAAGCAAAATTTCTTTGAAAATATTCTTTTCTTCTTCTGGTTAAAAAAGCAAAGAAGCTAAGTGTATAATTATGATGAGCAAGACTTAGTGTGCTTCTTCCAGAGTAGTGAATTTCATGACCCCTGGGTCAGATGTGCTGGTGTGAGGGTGGGGCTCTTGATAATGTAGTGAAAATGCATTAATTCTATTAAATAATTCTGTTTGCTCCTTAGTGTTAAGCAAATAAACAAAGGGATTAGTTATGATGAGTAAACATATGGTCCCAGGGTCAGAGGCTCTGGTGTTTCGGGGTTGGGTGTTTGGGTTGGGGGCTCTATTGATAATATAGTGAATCTGTAGTAAAAATGCATTATTTATTTAAAAATCCTCTCCACACCTGGGCATATCTGAGGCAAACAGAGTAAAAGTTTTTATAAGGAAGGGAATTTTTACCAGATTTTTGAACATCTGGACCATTTAGTCAAGTGTTCTGGTCCTGGCCAGGGCTCTATTAGTTTGTATTCTACTGAGAGGAGTTATAACCCTTTGCCATTTACTTTTGATAATTTATCACTGTAAATAATGTACTTGAAAGGTAAATAGAATAAGAGAATTATGCAAAAACTTTTATTGTATAATACAAAAAGTACTTTCATTGTTTTAATGATCAGATAGACTTGTAAGTAGTAGATATATAAAAACGAGACAAAAATAACTTGTCTTATTAAATATTCATCAAAGACCAAGAGAGGCCAATGTAAGAGATTTCAACAAAGGATTAAAATAGTACAGAAGCATTGATAATTTGTTAATATACTGTATGATGATAGTGATAAATGGGGAACAGATTAGAACCTAATTTATGAACTGTTAATGAATATTAAGACCAATTATTTTGTTGATCATGATCCCCCTATTTTTCTTGCTTTTGGGCAACAAAGCTTCACCTTTCAGTTCATTTTATACTCTATGCATCCTTCAAATTGTTGTCTCATACTCAGGTGACCGTTAAGGCCCTTGGGCCTCTTGTTTTTTTGTTTTTTTTTGTATCAAATACTCGGCCTATTTATAGGGCGTTAAAAGCTAATTTTACACAGTTACTTGAATCTTGGTTTATAAATATGTACGTATCTTATTGATATGTAAAAAAGTATAGTACATTATTTACATATCAGTAAGGTATAAACATATTTATAAACCAAGACCCAAGTGCCTGTGAATTTTGACCCCCCCCCCCCAAATCAATTTACCAGTAAAATGTGCAGATTCAGTGCTTTTATACTTGACGGAAATGAAATAAGAGCATCTGAAGTACAATATCCATAACATAGTATAACAGATTTCACAATAAACGTCAATTAATGAAATTGTTAATTTTCAAGTTTTTACAAAGGGGAGTGGGGGTGGGGTGGGGTGGGGGTGGAGACGTACATTTACTTCAAGCGAGATTTTGAACAAAGTATTTCTTCCTGCTATAAGCCTGTAGGCTGTCAGTAGAAACTACAAAATATTTTCTGTCGGTAGTAGTATAGATTCAATTCCCCGCGCTTGCGCGGGATTTCATCTAGTGATTTATAAATTCTAACTCTGTCTACGGACGTGTAAGGAGGAACGTTTCATATTCATTTTTGTTATTGTCTGAATACGTACATTATCAGAAAGAGAAAGGAATAACGATATTGTATTGCAAATAATCACCATCATTACAGCACATAGAAACTTTAAACAACAATTCAGACACCTGATTTAAACATCAACGTCGAAATAAAATCTACATGCCATGGGAAGGAATGTAAAAGTTATGACACTTTCCCCGTCATGACTGCTCAAGTTTGCTGTGACTTGACGTCATATTCTATTATGACGTCATATCTGGGTAGTTCAGAGAAGTAACAACGGCTGGTACACTGTGATATTTATCGGACAGTCTTATCCTAGCCGCGAAGAATATGAAACAAAAATTGCTTGTGAACTCATTTTTACTACGCCTCAGACAATGCAAAGATCCCTCTCGGTGTTTATGGGTGTAGCTGCGCTGCAAATGAGGTCCATTACGACAATTTTCAATCGTTTTTGGTTCTGTATAATTAATATTAATTTGATAAAATTATAATGTTCAAATTAAGTTAAATGAAATACAATTGCATTCACTTACATGTCTTTTATAAAAGCTGGATTATTTCAGAAAATGACATAAACTACTTTATGTCGGATGTTTATTCATGTTTATATTGATTATTAGTAAATTAGCTGACACAGAAACCCTACCGACGGCCACTATATAATCAATACAAATTACTGCGCAGAGAAAGTGCGTGATGACCAAGGGAGATTGAACATAGTTCAACTTACAAAAAAGTGTCAGAATTATGGCATTCTAAGCTGGGGATTAAGTTATCATGTCTTTAAAAACTCATCAGATGTTCATGGGCGGATACAGGATTTGTGATTAGGGGGGGCGTGGATAACTTTGTTCAGGCAGGGGGTCTGGGGGCCGCCTTAAGGCCCCCAGTGGGTCCAGGGCGAAGCCCTGGGTGGGGGCCCAGGGGGCGAAGCCCCCGGATGCTCCTGGGTTTTCGTGTATTTTAAGAGTAAAACCAGGCACAATAATAGGGGTATTGGTTAGTTTATATGTACCAAAGTTTAGCATTATTAATACTAGTCATATCATACTTTGAATATAGGGGGCCCAGGGGGCGAAGCCCCCGGAAGCTCCTGGGTTTTCGTGTATTTTAAGAGTAAAACCAGGCACAAAAATAGCGGTATTGGTTTGTTATATACCAAAGTATGGCATTATTGATATTAGTCATATCATACTTTGAAAATTTTAGGGAGGGCGTGCGCCCCCCACGCCCCCCCCTTAAATCCGCCAGTGATGTTGGTAGGGGATACACCATCCATACGTTTCAATTTTTTTTTCAACGGTAGAAGGACATTAATCTCTGAAAATTAACAAAACTATAGCAGAATTATATTCTAGAAATTGATCTATTTTGATAAATTGCTAAAATTCACAGAAAGTGGAGGTGTAACACTATTAATACCTTAGATGCCTGTGATGGTTAACAGCTCTAAAGGTACAAACAGAAAAAAAACAATCGTGCCATGCGCTTGCGCTTAACATATTCTTTTTTGTGTCGCCTGCAGAGCAGAGCAACACTTAAAGATCACTTTACCCTGCGTTTGTCTGTCTGTCTACCTGTCGGTCACACCTTGTATCCCAAGAACTGTAAGGGCTATGGATTTGATATTTTGCACATATATTGCTTGGTACTATGGGTTTTGTAAATTGCCATGGATACCAACCTTGTGACCTTGACCTTGACATATGACCTACTTTTCAAAATAACTCATAATGTCGATATACAGCATATTTTTTGACATATAAGAGGTAAGGCTGTGCTGTTTTGTATGTGCACCAATTGTCACTAAATACGATGAAAAAATAACAATTTGATCATATCATGATTATGTAAAATACCAAATAAAACCAAACCACAAAAACATTGTATGACTTTTTTGGATTAATTTATTTAAGTCAACGCACAAGCCAGCCACTGAAACTACACCATCCACCATGAGCATAATTCCCATAGGTAGTTCTTATATTCACAAGGTCACCAGCGTTAAGTTTCACCGGCAAAACCTGGGTACAGCTGAGATAACCGGCGGTTGATCCTTCGTTATTACAGTTGTCTCGCTCTCTACTAACTCCATTTACTAGCAATTCCGTGTCAAACACTTTTCCCGGCGCTGTCAGATTCTCCCAACTAAAGACGTATAATCCAGTAACAGGAGCCGTGAAGTACCCCGTGGATGGGTTGTAGGTTTTATGACTGTCGAAGTGAACACCATTATATACCACATTAGTCTGGCGGTCACGAGGAGGGGTGAATGTGTTGGTTAGATATGCAGAAAAGTAAATTGGATTGGAGTCTAAAATGTGAAGAGAAATCAATGCCAAATAATGCAGACCAATAAAGTATATGAATTGAAATCTCTAATTATCGTCTCATAATCAATGCTCTTCACTATATGAGAGGTTCAAACAAATTTATTTTCATCTTTCTATTAGCACAATGAAGAGGCATGTAGCTGCTAGCAGTATTAAAAAACTAGAGCTTACAAGTCATAAAAAAAATCACATGAACAGCGCGTTAAACATGAAAAAGTTGATTTAAACAAAATCTAAAGTTAGTCATATTATGATCATTAAACTCAAAACATGTCTTAAAGCAAAGAATAAGCAAAGAACGATGTGAGGAATAGTTTTTTGTAAGTAAGTCAAAGATTAAGTTCCAGGTCACGAGATCTGTAATCCGCGTACTTTGTAAATGCTATTTTTATATGTTAAAAGTACCGTCATGTAGATATCAAATCATAATTACTATCGTTAAGAAAGGTAGAATGTCATTATAATTTGTGAGGGTAAATATGTATAGTACAATGTCGTTAGGTCTAGTACTTAGCATTACACATGCCAAAATCTAAATCATTTTACGTGTTTTAGGAAAAAAAATTACAGCAAAACATTTTATTGAAGAAACAAAATGTTGGTTAGAGGTCAAGGTTAATGTTCCAAGATAAGACAAAATGTATTATTTGATGGTCTTCTGCTCAAAAGATAATGGTACATCATGAAATATTATCGAAAAGTAGATCAAAAGTAAAGTTAGGGGTTATAAAGTTAGTAGTCATAGCTTTCTACAAAACCTTTTGTGCAATTAAATACATTCGAAAATTATTAAATCTTTCTTTCATTTCGTTCAAATGATAAGAGGTATTACAGACACATAGAAAGGCATACTATTCTCAAGTCAAAATGGTTTGTATAAAACAATCTACTCTGTACCGTACTGCTTTCAATCGTCATAAAGAAACATCTCATAAGACACTGGTAATACTAACAAATTATCTTTTTTCTTTTATACTTCAAACTACAAATGTACAGTTGGTGTTACATACTGTATTTTTCAACTGTTGCAAGTCTTTGGGTGAGTTGTTGAACGGTGGCCGCCAAATTCTGAACAGTAGTCTCTAAATGAGAAATCCTTTCGTTTGAATTCGGAGGACCTGTGACCAGAAGACGTTGGACTCTCTGTCCGTGACAAAGGACAATTGTACTTAGAACAACGAAATTTGTAGCTAACATGGTACTTATCTTATAAGGATCGAGGAATAAATGGTTAAAGGTCTCTTGTGCCTCTCTGTACATGTATAATGTGCGTGGTTGTTATCAAATATGGTAACTGAAGGTATTTTCGAACGAAGACAGATAAGTCATTCCTAAACGCTATTATCAATAAACTGTACTATTTGGTTAAATGTCAAAAAATGGCCAGAAAGATACTATGAAACTAGAGCCGAGCTCGTTGCAATGCAACGAATAGGTCTTCCGTCGGAGCTCCGGACAGGACAGAGCGACCTTGAGTCAAGGTCATGCAACATTTTAAGGTTATAAACAATCCTGTAAGGGGCATCAACTTTCAATGTTTCAACAGTAGAAAGACAGTAAAGGAATGTAAAATTCCCCTGTCAGTGAACTTGAACTTGTCCAAATAACTTTGCGTCAAGCCATGACACATTCTGCAGCTGGTTAAGAGCAAACACCATCTTTATGTCACCGACATAAAAAAAAATCACAGTCACGTATTCTTTCAGACTATTCATCCAAAACATCATATTCTAAGTGACCTCGAATTTAAGTCAAGGCCATTACACACTCTGGATGATATATTTATCATCTTTTCAGTGAAATGCAAATGCTTGCAATTTTTTCTATTACAAAAGTATAGACCTTTTTGTTTATTTGTTTGTATGTTGTTTAACGTCCCTTTCGAGAATTTTTCAATTATATGGAGACGCCACCATTTGCCGGTGGAGATCTGCAAATTTTGACCTATACTCGGCACACATGGCCATTTAGCAGTGAGGGATCTTTTTCGTGCCAGCACCTACTGCCAGACGGGACCTCAGTTTGTACGGTCTCATCTGAAGGATCAGTCTCTGTGTCCCACAGTGGGATTCGAACCTGCGACGTAAGGATTAACTCCATAATCCACGACTCTAGAGCAGACACTCTTACCACTGCGCCACTTGGGCGACTAGACCTTTTTGAATTTTACACTTATTATATCAGTGACCTTGAACTTGCCTAAATGACCTATGTTAAGGTCAAAAACAACCTTTGAACAAATTATGAGCTTCCAGTGATACCCAATGACAAAGATATACCTGAAAAAGAATATTGCACTTTTCTGTCAGTGACCTTGAACTTGCCAGAAAGACCTTGGATCAAGGTTAAAACACATTCTTGGATCATAAGCAATCTCTGTATCAAGTAAAAGCTTCCAGTGATTTTATATAACAAAGTTATAGCATGTGAAAAAAAAATAATATTTATCTGCCAGTGACCTTGAACTTGCCGGAAAAACCTTTGTTCAAGGTCAGGAAAACCCATCTCAAGCAATCTGAGAAAAATTTTCCTGTGTTCCTCCCACCCCTCATAAATTTATAATCCAGGCACGAATTTTGCCACTTCTTCTGCCAGTCTAGTACTATGTTATCTCAAACCGGTGGATCATAAGCAATCTTTGTTCCAAGTATGAGCTTCAAAAGTTATAACACATACAGTAATCTTACAGTTTTCTGTCAGTGACCTTGAACTTACAGGAATGACCTTGGATGAAAGTCGTGTCAAACCCTTTAATTTTGTGATAAGCAATTTCTGTATCAAGTATGATACTTGCTATTTTTTTTCCAATGACCTTGAACTTGCTGGAATGATGTTGGATCAAAACCATGACACACCTTCGGATCATTAGTAATCTTTGTACCAAGTATGACCTTCCAGTTTCTTCATAACAAAGTTATAATATCCTTGGCGAACTATCACGTACAGACGGACTGCTAGGCAGACGGACAGTGTGATTCCAAAAGACTCAAAACACCCCCACCCCAAACCCACACACTTCGTTTGGGGGGATATATAAATTCCTTTGTTAAATTATGAACACTCTTTCCGGCCCAAACCTTCTCCCTGGAATCAATATTTGAAAAAAAAAAATGAATGTATGCTATGTTGGAAATTTTCTCATTCTAGTCCAGGGATTCTTGAGAATACTATTTTCAAATGATCCCATGCGCGGATCTAGAGGGGGTTGGGGGCAGTTAAATGTATATACTAAACAAGAGGCCCATGGGCCACATCGCTCACCTGAGTAACTTTGGCCATGCTGTTCATTACCAGACTTCCCCCCTTGTAATACCTATTGTGGCCCCTCCCTACCCCCAGGGGCCATGATTTGAACAATTTAGAATCTACACTACCCCAGGATGCTTCCACATAAGTTTCAGTTTTTCTAGTCCAGTGGTTTTTGAGAAGATTTTTAAAGATCTTTCCTATATATTTCAATGTTAAACTTGAGATTCCCCCTATTGTGGCCCCGCCCTATCCCCGGGGTCATGATTTGAACAATTTAGAGTCTACACTACTTGAGGATGCTTCCACATAAGTTTCAGCTTTTCTGGCTCAGTGGTTCTTGAGAAGAAGATTTTTAAAGATTTTTCCTATATATTTCAATGTAAAACTTGTATTCCCTATTGTGGCCTCGCCCTACCCCCGGGGGTCATGATTTGAACAATTTAGATTCTACACTACCCCAGAATGCTTCCACATAAGTTTCAGCTTTTCTGGCTCAGTGGTTCTTGAGAAGAAGATTTTTAAAGGTTTTTCCTATATATTTCAATGTAAAACTTGTATTTCCTATTGTGGCCACGCCCTACCCCCGGGGGTCAAGATTTGAACAATTTAAAATCAACACTACCCCAGGATGCTTCCACATAAGTTTCAGCTTTTCTGGCTCAGTGGTTCTTGAGAAGAAGATTTTTAAAGATTTTTCCTATATATTTCAATGTAAAACTTGTATTCCCTATTGTGGCCTCGCCCTACCCCCAAGGGTCATGATTTGAACAATTTAGAATCTACACTACCCCAGGATGCTTCCACATAAGTTTCAGCTTTTCTGGCTCAGTGGTTCTAGAGAAGAAGATTTTTAAAGATTTTTCCTATATATTTCAATGTAAAACTTGGATTTCCTATTGTGGCCCCGCCCTACCCCCGGGGGTCATGACTTTAACAATTTAGAATTTTCACTATACCAGGATGCTTCCACGTAAGTTTCAGCTTTTCTGGCCCAGTGGTTCTTGAGAAGAAGATTTTTTAATGACCCCACCCTATTTTTGTCTTTTCTTGATTATCTCCCCTTGTAAGGAGACTTGGTCCTTTATTTTAAAAATTTAAACTCCCCTTCCCCCAAGGATACTTTGTACCAAGTTTGGTTAAAATTGGCCCAGTGGTTCTTGAGAAGAAGCTGAAAATGTGAAAAGTTTACAGACGGACGGAGACAGACAGACGGACGGACGACGGACAACGGGTGATCAGAAAAGCTCACTTGAGCTTTCAGCTCAGGTGAGCTAACAAGTAAAACTGACCATGCCCCCCCCCTTAGAAAACACGGACCCTTCCTCGAAAACGCGGATCTGTGTTAAAATGGTATGAAAAGTCTTAGGTATGAAGCTTTAAAAGTCAACGACCCCCCTCCCCCCCCACACACACACAAACACACACACGAAATAGGTTTTTCACGTTTGGGAAAAGAGTTTCTTTTTTTTTTTTGGCTTGTCAAGAAATTTCTGGGTTGAAATATTTTTTTTTATTGGGATCCCCTCCCCTACCCCCCCCCCCCCCCGTGGAAAAAAATTCCTTGATCTGCGCCTGGACCCCATCTAATTTTTTCTACATGTATCCGTTAAAAGAGGATGTGACCCTTCATTTGAACAAAACTTTACCAAAAATATTCTGTGTTAATTTTCGTTGTTATGGTCCAGTGGTTCTTGATAAGATAAAAATGAGAAAAAGGATGTATTCACTATTACAAAAGAATTGACCTATAGGAGAGAACAATTTCCCGGAAAAAGTGACATTTAAAAATCAATCTTTATTTGTTGTTTTCTACCGTATATATGTCTAAATTTTTCAAATTTGAATTTTACAACTAAAATTTATTATTTACAACTTCAGAATAAACCTCCAAAGTTGGCCGAAACACCATTTCGTCCGTTAAAGCGTTGATTTTTGCATAAATTTTGGCCTAGAAGTCCTTCAGGGCAGGCCTGCCCCTAAATAAAATTGTGATATTTTGATAGGTTGGGATGTAAGGAATAATTTAAGATAGGATTTTTTTAGGGGCACCCCTGCCCTTGGGTCGAAATTCACAAAAAACCTACAAAAAATAAGTAAACTTGATTTTGACAATCTGCTTCAAATTTATACCGTTCAATCTTGTAGTCACAATAGCTCATTTGATATATGCGCTGCGCTGGCTTTTATATCGTGGGTACTTTATTTTTAAAGTCGGGGGTTCGAATCCACCTGTTGCCACACTTTTATAGTTTTAAATTTTTGCCTTTTCAAAGACTATTTTAATTTTGTTATAGGCTTGTGTATGTTTCTTCAATTATCTATCCTTTATGCATTCCCATTTTTTGATATAAGAAACACTAGAGAGAGATCAAATCTTAACAATCCAATATACAGTTGTCAGTCAGGCGGAACAAGTCTCAGTATAGCACACTTTCCCCGAGGACAAGAATAACTCACTCTATGTTACTAGATACAGGTATTCTCGGCAGCATTGAGCTGCGATGAATTTCAATTGTATCTATATTCCTTAGAATTTAATCACATTGCTTTTATTCTGTATGTGCTACTAGTGCTTGTCTGGGTTACATGTAGTACATGAATGTTACGCATTGCTTGAATTATTTGAGCTTAATATATTTAGAATAACATACATGTACTTTTGTTTTCAGTCAGTGTTTTAAGATCTTAAGTTTTGAAACAGTAGGGCTACATATATCAGTAACTGTACTCCCTTGGATTTCATTTAGGCCCATATGATTTGCACACATTAATTGCATGTTTTTATTATATCCAACGGAAATGTGTTGTAAAATAAATAGCCTAGACATAAAAAACAGAGTTCCAGAGACAGTAGACATTACCATTATGTACAATGAGAAGTAAAGAAAAATATCATTCAATTGTTACATTTGGAAATAACAAACTCAGAATATCAATGTTCCTCCTACCTCTACTCACT